ATGGCTCCTGCACAAGGATGACACGCAAATTTGTGAAGCGTTCCTTATGTATATACATACAAGGCTCAGCAATTGTGTAACCTAAGTCTTCCTAAATGATGCAAGAGCTTAAGAGCATAATTTTTGAAGTCTGGTCTTCATCCCAGATTATTCAGGAGGCTCAGTCAAACGGATCTCCATCTCTCTCCTCCCTGGGTACTTCCCTGGAGTGCCCCATCTCCACAATTCACTGGGGAGAGAACAATAATTATGGATTTCTCCCCAAGAGTTAGGATGGAAGTAACAAGATAGCTGATTGTATATTTCTGGTAACAAGTGTAAAACAATATTATCTCAAAACCTAGAGTAAAAGATTGCTGCATATAAAATGCTAAGAAACCTTGCTGTTTATGAGCGATGCTGGGATGCTGAGAAAGAGGGTGGGTGGCATGGTCATATCACAGGAAGAAAGAGAATGTGAAGAGAAATATGGGAATAGCTTTTGAAATTGGGTGAATACAATTCAGTGGAGGGTTACAGGACATTAAACCTGCTGGTTACTAAATTTTCAGAGTCAGACTGAGAAGTGAGCCCAGGGAGAAGCAAAAGGGATTTAGGCTAGACATACAGACTGACTATCAGGGTAGCTGATAGTCTCAGTTAGGATGATAATATCAGTTAGGATTTAGTTCAGCATCCAGTGACAGGAACCCCCAAAATAACAGGCTTAAATAAGACAGATCACATAAAAGTCTAGGAAGAGGGAATCCAGTGCTGATGTGTTAACCCCACATTGTGAAGAACCTGGGGCTCCTTCAGGCCTTCTGCCTCCATTCCTAGGGTGTGATTTCTTCCTCATGGCACAATATGGTGCTGCAGCTCCAGCCATCACATCTCAGTTTAGAAGTCCCCCAACATGGCAGTTTACCCTTCATTGGCCAGAATTTAGTCACGTGGCAATAGAATGTCATCCTTTGGCTGTATGGCAATATGCCTAGCTGGAAAAGGGCTTCAAGTAATTTGAGAGAGAAGAAGAGATCCTCCATGAGTAAGAAAAGCCATAGACATCTTGGGTCTTTGTTCCATCCATGAATATCAGGAGGGCCTGATGTGTTCAGGCATTGCTTGAGGGCAGTAAGAAAGAAGGCAGATGGGTTTCTATGTTCATGAAACTTAGAGTCTAGTGGGAGGCAAGACAGACAATAAACTAACAGGAAATGTGGCCTATATGACAATCTACATTATATACTCAGGTCTCTCCCAGGAGCTCTTTTCAGATGTACCTGTTCATAACTGATGATTGGAGCATTGATCGCCAACATAACCTTTAATGCCTGTAGGCATCTTGGGCAGCCAACATCAGCATTTCTTTGATAGCAGTTCAGCTCATCAGAGGCTCCTGAGGGCCTGCGTTGTGAGAGTAACAGTGATGGGGAGAGCAGGAGGCGGGAGAGGTAAACAGCCAGCAAGCCAGTGCCCCGCCCAGAGAGCAGCCCGTCATTCCATGGCCAGCACCTCATGGGTCGAAGCTCCCGGAAAGACTCTAGGGAGGCAGCTGTAAAATCCCAAGTCTGTTTTCTTTTTCCTTGGGTGGACAAAGACTTGGGCTCTTCCCTTGTAGAGGAGCAGAGCAGTGTGGTGAGGACGATTCTGCAGTCCCCACAGGCTTTTGAGGCCAAGCTGGGAACTTGGGAAAACACAAGGACACGGTCTTTTCCGGCTCCCCTGACCTTCTGCCAGCAGTCCTGGAGCCTGGTTCTGCTGGGAACCGACAGGTGTCCAGGTTCGGTTCACGTGTCCGTAAGTGGGCCTAGATTCTAAGTTAAAGTGAAGCCAGAGTTGCCCACCCAGAACTCCTGCCCTGGCTCTGCACAGTAACCTAGATCAGTGATTCTCTGAGGTAAAGGACCAGACCAAATTTTTGTTTTGATTTAAACTGCAAAGTTTCAATTTCCAATCTGTCATAAAAATGAAATATTAGAAAAGTGAATTAAAAAGACATGCACAGTGCAGACCTAGACATCTATTATTATATTTTATGTTCCTGGAATCGAATCACTTCCAGCCTGGGGCCTGGGTGGCCATCCTGCAGGCCCAGAGCCGGTCAGGGGCTGCAGCCTCCTCGCTCCACCTTAGGGCGGCTCTGAAGGAGGATGAGGAGGCCCTGCCTGCACATTTCTCCCTGGTGCCCACTGCCCTGCTCCCCATGACTTCAGCCTCTACCAGAGCAGCCTGATTAAAGGAACAGCTTGGCTAACTCCTATCATAGTCTCACGTGCAGGTGAAAATTTCACTACACTCTTGCAGCCAGAGAAACAAAAGGTCACAGCCAACCATAATCATTATCCAGGTTCCCCTACCTGGACAGAGCTTTTGGCATATACTAGTTTGGTTAAGAAAGCAGCCAATCAAAAGGCAGGCAGTATTCCCCCACCACGTGGCCTGGCTGGCCTGGCAAGGTGGGAGGTCATTGTGGACCCTGTGTTGCAGTTCTCCAAGGACCGGCACCTCATGGACAGGACGCCTGAGAGGCTGAAGAAGGAGCTGGAGGAGGAGCTGCTACTGAGCAGTGAGGACCTGCGCAGCCACGCCTGGTACCACGGCCGCATCCCCCGACAGGTACCTGCCCTCCTCATGCAGCACGCCCGGATCTTCTCAGGCAGCACCCAGATCAGTGATCCACAGGGTCACACACCAAGGCCACGAAGGAGCAAGCCCCAGTTTAGCCAAAAACAAATACTATGAAGTGGCTTGCAGGGCTTGACTTTGGCCCACCTCTAAGGAGACCTTGGGCAGATCTAAGGTCAGGAACCCAAAGTACATTTCCAAGTGCCCAGTAAGTAGATGAAGGAAGAGCAGATGTTCCTGTCATCTGCAAACATGGGGTGGGCATGAGGCAGCAGCCGCAGGTGGTAACCTGAAGTACGAAGCCAGGCTGTGGTTCAGATCATTGGACACTTGGCAGGCTGCCTGCAGCCTCATAACCTCTGGAAGCTGCTTTTCTTTTCTTTTCTTTTCTTTTCTTTTCTTTTCTTTTCTTTTCTTTTCTTTTTTTTAAGGCCATGGCTTTATTTCAGGTGTAGAGGGGTTATTATCAGGGCAGATGGCTCAGAGCAACAAGGCTCCTGGGGGCAGCAGTTACTCTCCATTCCCACCCTGCCCCTGGTCCTGAGATAGGGAAGAAGAAGAATTATACCAGTGACCACAGACTCGCCACCTAGAATGTACTTGTGTGACTGTTGCCGGGTGATAGCTGGGAAAAATTTTTTTTGCTTCATAGTATAAAAATTGTAAAGTAAGTGCAGACTTGAGGTGTAGGATTTCTCTTGGGTTTTATTTGCACCCTGATCTGACCAGTCATTCACCCAGGATGATATGATGGGAAAGGGGTGGGTGGGGGTTGAAGAAAAGGCATCATGTGAATTATATTTTATAACGTAGCAGATTTCTTAGCATTATCAAAGAAATAATCCTCATTTTTACTCTTCTTTTCCTTTTCTTAGTTTCAAATTGATTGTGGCAAATACAGAAAATTAGAAGAAGAAAATTATACTCTCACCCATAATCCTCCCTCCTGGAGATAACCACTGTGAACATGTTGATATACATCCTCCCAGACTTTTCTAAATTGAATGTGAAGTTATGTTGCATATATTTTTTTGTAACCCACTGTTTTCACTTAATGACACGTCCTGGGAATTTTCTCCTGCTAGAAAATATTCTTCCACACCATTTCGCATTGCATGTATCTCCATTGCATGCATGCCCCACTATTTATTGGGTGCTCTCACCAGCAGCCTTTAAGATAACTACTATGTTCATAACTATAATTATTTCCTCGGGCTCAATTCCAAGATTTGGAATTTCTGTGTAGAACATATTTTTATTTATATTTTTAAGGCAAAGATGCAGTTTTAAAGTAACCATGGCAGCATACTATTCAACTCTGATCAAATATTGGAACGTCCTGGAAAAATTGTCAGAGTTGGTAAAACTGATGATTGTCACCACCATCCTTCTCCTTATCATAACCATATAATTTGTTTCCCACTTGCCAGGAATGTAAATTTTCAGCCATTTGCATCATTCTATATTATATAACTGAACACTGTAATGATAATGATAGTTACAATTAACATTTCACTCCTTTAAATCTTTATAGCTACTCTGTAGGTAATATTATTCCTGTTTCACAGATCATGTAACTGAGCCACAAAGAGATTATGCAACTTGTCCAGAGTCACACAGCAGAGCCAGAACGCACACCCAGATGGCCATTCTACAACCAACACAGTAGAAATTCTCCTTTTATGATAAACATCAGCATCCATAAATAGTTAACAATTTTTGAGCATCTACTGTGTCCAGTCACCATACTAGGGCTTTCATATATTATGTATGCAAATATATAATCCTCCCAATAACTTTGTGAGGTGGGAGAGCTGGCCCTCCAGGGCCTAATGGGTGAGCCAAGCCTGATCCTACAGTGCCTCGCCTCCACCTGCGCTGGGGCCCTCCTCCTCCAATAGGGCCTGGGAAGGGGCGTCTGAGGACCGGGCTCTGAGGATGACTCCAAGATGCCAACAACACACTCCTGTACTTGGGGGTGGTGGGAGGAATCAGACCTGCCAGACATTACTTTTCTTATTTATTTTTTGTCTCTTTACATCCTTCACGTTTGCCTAATTGCCATCTTCTCATGACACCATCCTGATCAACCTATTTGAAAGGACATCCCTTATCCCCTCCCAAACACTTCTTATCTCCCTTCCCCATTTACTGGTTCCTTAACTTTACATCTGACCTACCATACCTGTTGCTTATTTATGCTCACAACAACAGCAGCTCTTCCCTAGCAATAGAAGCTCCTATGTCAGTGGGGACTGTGGACTGTGCCACTCACTGCTGTAAACCCAGCACTTGCAGTACACTTGGCACATAGCAGATGGTCAGCAGAGAGTTCTTAAATGAATGAATAGGTCTTCAGAGAATTTGACATTTGCAAAAATAAAGAGCCGACTGAGGAAGAAGAGGCAGGCCAGTACTGTCTTCTGCTGGCCCCAAGGAGTGGGGAACACTGCAGCTTTAAAGGGAGGTAAGCCTGCCTCTCCTACTCTTCACTTACCGTTTTGCTCCAAAGGTATCAGAAAACCTCGTGCAGCGAGATGGCGACTTCCTGGTTCGCGACTCATTGTCCAGCCCCGGAAACTTCGTCCTGACCTGTCAGTGGAAGAACCTTGCTCAGCACTTCAAGATCCAGCGGACTGTCCTGCGGCTCACGGAGGCCTACAGTCGCGTGCAGTACCAGTTTGAGACGGAGAGCTTCGACTCCATCCCCGGCCTGGTGCGCTGCTACGTGGGCAACCGCCGGCCCATCTCCCAGCAGAGCGGTGCCATCATCTTCCAGCCCATCAACAGGACAGTGCCCCTGCGCTGCTTGGAGGAGCGCTATGGCGCCTCCCCAGGCAGGGCCCGCCAGGGCAGCCTCGCCGAGGGAAGGCCCGACGCGGCCCAGAGGCTGAGCCTCACCATGGGTGGCTGGGCCCGAGAGCAGAGCTTGCCCAGGGGAAACCTCCTCAGGTGGGTCGGGGCCACGAGGGGGCCTGGACGTGCCCAGGCTTAGTGGGGCAGATGAGGAGCTCACCCTGGAACAGGGGCAGTGAAAATGTTAATAATGCCAGGTGTTGCTGGAATAGCTGTCATGGGGCAGGGCACGATTATCTTCCAGCTGAGCTGGTGCTAAAAATAAATGATATGGTCGCTGAGGAAGGGGCAGGGGGACTGGGAGAGACTTTGTGATGAAGGTGGATTCCAGCTGGTCCAAAGGCTACAGAAAGTTTGGATGGATGAGCAAAGGGGAGGGAATTCCAGGTGGATTGCCCAGCATGAGAAGTGTGGAGAGAAGGGGCTGGAGGTGCTTGGAGCGAGTAACTGGTGGGGCTGGAGCCAAGGGTCCACATGAGGGGCTGGCAGGGGTAGGCTTAGGAGGTGACCAGACCAGACGCCTAATGCCAAGCCAGGGGGTTTGAGGGAGCCTCAAAGACTCGACATGGTGAGTGGGGTGCCCTAACAACAGAATGATGTGCCAGAGGGCCAAGGAAAGTGATGGACGGGTGAGTGAGTGGCAGAGGGTTAGGAGGTGTGGGAACCTGGATTCCCAGAGCCCTTCTATTTCTTCCCAGGTGGAGGAGGGTGAATTGGATATCACACGAGGGACCAGCAGGGGTGCGCTTTGGAGGGAAAGCCAGGCGGAGATGACTGGGGCTTGCTGAGGACCCGTGTCCAGCTTGGGGCTCAGGAGGGGAATGAGGCCTGGGAGTGTGGATCAGGGCATGGTCCACATGGGGACGGTGGTTGACATGGCAGAAGCATATGAGATTCCTAAGACAGCAGGCGCCCAGAGCTGGGGCTGCAGCCTGAGCCCCAGAGACCAGCAAGGGAGGAGCTCAGCATGACTCCCGGTTTGCGCCTGTGTTTCTACAGGACGGGCCCCTCACTGGGCTGAGAGTCGCTGTGCCTGTTCTCTAACTGCCGGGAAAGGACAGCCGGCAGAGGCAGGCATGGTAGGGCGCAGACCAGACCGGGCCCTGGGGCACAGCTCCCCATATCCGGCCTCCCGGCGTCTAAGCTTACACATTCACGCCCACAGGTTTTATTCCGCTCACTGGTTTTCTTTCTGGAGCAGTAGGAAGTGTCATAAACTGTAATTTCTAGACTGCAAAAATTCAGAAGCAAAATACAGGACTCTGAGTAATACGATTGACATCCGGAAGCTCCAGTAGATGTTAGTCAGCGTCTGCCTGCCTGGACACAAATGCTGGTCCACCGCTGACCTGGTCAGCCCCGGGCAAGCTGCTATCCTTCTCTGGGCCTCAGTTTCTCCCTTTGGAAAGATGGAGCTTGTGGGGGTTAAAGATTTGCTAAGCAAAGTGCTTATTATGGTGCTGACATGTGAAAAGTGCTATGTGAGTGTTAATAATCACAATACTTAACTATTTTCTGAGATGGTGGAATGTAGGACTCAGGGCAGTTGCAGGGAGGGAGGCAAGAATTGATATTTAGAAATTCTCCTTTTCCATAGTGACAAGACTGGACTTGCCATCCCTTAAAATATTAAAGGGGTACCTTTTCCTCTCTTTCTTTTGAGAGTGGGGTTTGGCTGCTCAACTGAGCAACAGGGACTTAATGTAGTGAGCAGAGCCAGGGCATATGTGGAGGCACACGTAAACTTTGCCAAGGGTGCTGGGGAGCAAGGCCCCCTTGTCTGCTCTCAGCAACCCGGATTTAAAATATAATTTTTTTTTCAAGATAAGAAATGAAAGGAAGACTGAGAAAGTCTGTAAGTCAACAAGGCAGGCCTAACAAAGCCACCCTTTTCGTTGCCTTTTGAGACAGAGCTCCCTAAGCCTTGTCACTTGGGGGCGTAGGGAGCAGGCCCAGAAATGCCTAAACCTGAGAGTGGGGTGGGCTCAACGCGAAAGCTGGCCTGCGGCCCTTCAGTGGCTCGGCACCTCCCCTGACGTGGGGCCCGCTGATTGGCTGGCTGGCCCCAGCCACCCGGCAAAGGTGTGCCAGGCCGCATTCCAGGTCCATGCTCTGGGCCGGTGGAGTCACTGCTCGCAGGGATCGCTGCTTAAATATCACTTCGCGGAAGCCATTGCCTTTTGGAATTTGCCCTCTGCTCTGCCTTATCTCTGAGGGGCTGCTGGAATTTCTCTGTTGCTGGGAATTTGGGGTTTTTTGGCCTGTTTTTTTCTTTGGCGCTTACAAAGGTAGGAAAGAACTTTGTGATTTCTGTAACATAAGCTGGGGGGAGGGCCCATCAAAGTTCACTCCAGTTTGAAGGGAGCAGTGCTTTCTCTTCTGGCAAAAGACAGATTCTGTTCCTTGGTGCTAATTAGAAAAATACCCAGTCTGAATTGGCAAGGGACAGAGGAATGCTAGCTAATTATTTGAAAAAGTTAGGTTCCACCGTTTCCCTGTGAGGCTGTGCTTTGTGCCTCCAAGCTGCCACTTGGTGACCATGCCTGTCCCTTTTCCCAGCTCAGCAGGAGGAGGCTGTCTGTGGGGGCCCCAAGACATCCAGGAGGCTGGGGGTGACAGCCTCCCTGGGCGATCCTGCAGATTATTTGGGGGATGCCAAGATTTGCACTCAAATGGTAACTGTTTCACGTTTTCCTTCCTAACTGTGACACTGTGAGGCATGGTGGAAAACACATGTTAAACAGGTTGTTCCTCCTGGGACTGTAAGGAATTTAAGGCTCTGTGAAAAGTATACATTCCAGTTAATGAGATTTTCCTGCAAGTATTGTGAAACCTTCACTCACTCAACAGGGTGGGAGGGCTCAGAGGAGGCATCCTGGGACCTGACTGCTCTGGGGGTCCTGGAGATGGAGCCCAGGGTGCAATCATGTGTTAATCGCACCATCAGTAATTTCCTCCTCCGTCACTCTTAGGACACGCTTTTGCACTCTCATTCTGAGCAATCGTTTTCTTAAAAACTTTCCATGACGCTGCCTAAAGGTTTTATGATTTAATGACACATTTCCTCCTCACTTGTCTCTTGCTTCAGAAATAAAGAGAAGAGCGGTAGTCAGCCAGCCTGCCTGGATCACATGCAGGACAGAAGAGCCTTACCCCTCAAGGCCCACCAGTCGGAAAGTCACCTGCCAATTGGTAGGTCTTTGGGGATGTTTCAGGTGGAGGCTGACAGTGTCATCCTGGTTTCCTTCAGGCTGCTGCCGCCCACTCCATCTGGCCACCTGCTTTGGGAACAACATAAGGCTTCATGCCTGCAGGCTGGAGGGAAGGGGTTTGTAGAAATATATCCAGATGCCAGTCACTGAGCTGGACGCTATGTGTACTAACTTCATTACAAGCCTTCAAAATGGGCTTGATTATCCCTTTTCCAGCCGAAGAAACTGAGGCACAGGGCTTCAGTAACTTGTACAGAATCATCCACTGGGAGAGCGGCTAAGCCAGCATTTGAACCCAGGTTTTCTGATCCTAAGCCCATTCGGCAACTGGTGGTCTTCATGACAAAGCAGCCCACTGCCTTAGTCCCCAGGGCAGACCGTAGGGTTGGGGCCAGTGCTGGGGCTCCTGGTAGAGCAGCTGTCCAGAGAGACCTTCTGCCTCTCCATTCCCCCTTCACAGCCAAAAGAGCAAGAAGATGTGATGTGGGAAAATCTAGTAAGCAACTAAATTAGGCCGTGGGACTGTTTTCATAATTGTTATAACTGACCTTCCTTGGGCCCACAAGGTGATTTCCTGATGCCCCTTCATAAATGACATGTGTGAGGTTATCTCAGCATCTTTTCTCCCTCCCCAGTGTGTCACTAGCTCTCCCTTAAAGCTGGCCGGGATCACTCTGGCTTTCAGAGTGACTCAGGGCCCTTTATGCTATGTGGCTAAAGACTACTGTTTCTTAGAGCAACATAGCACTACTCACTGCCATGCAAGTCAGTGTGTTTTCCTGTTCTGACTGTATTAACCTGTGGCCATAAAATGACGCAGCAGCCCTGCTGGCAGCAGTCTCTGGGCTTCAAATTACCCAGGAAGTGGAGTGGGGCCAGCTAGCGCTCAAAATGCTCTAGATTGCTCCATCTCTAGATTGCTCTAGATGGAGCTGCTCTAGATCGAGTGGGGGTGGTCATACTGAGTCATCTTTTAAGAATGAAAAATGAAGCCCAGGGGAATGAATTGAGGGCTGGGAACTGTCACTCTAGTTTTGTTTGTTTTGTGTTCACAAAGCTCAGCTTTTTCTGACCCTGTCTTATCTTCCACAGGCTGTAAGTTGTCCCCTCAGTCCCTGGGTGTGGACACAATCCCCTGCCCAAACTCACCAGTTTTCAGGACGGGCAGCGAGCCCACCCTGAGCCCAGCAGTGGTTCGGAGGGGCTCCTCGGACCCTAGGGCAGGGGAGGCATTGCGAGGCTCAGACAGCCAGCTTTGCCCCAAGCCACCCCCGAAGCCCTGCAAGGCACCCTTCCTCAGGGCTCCCCCATCTTCCTCCACCTGGCTCTCTAAGCCCATTCGGCAACTGGTGGTCTTCATGACAAAGCAGCCCACTGCCTTAGTCCCCAGGGCAGACCGTAGGGTTGGGGCCAGTGCTGGGGCTCCTGGTAGAGCAGCTGTCCAGAGAGACCTTCTGCCTCTCCATTCCCCCTTCACAGCCAAAAGAGCAAGAAGATGTGATGTGGGAAAATCTAGTAAGCAACTAAATTAGGCCGTGGGACTGTTTTCATAATTGTTATAACTGACCTTCCTTGGGCCCACAAGGTGATTTCCTGATGCCCCTTCATAAATGACATGTGTGAGGTTATCTCAGCATCTTTTCTCCCTCCCCAGTGTGTCACTAGCTCTCCCTTAAAGCTGGCCGGGATCACTCTGGCTTTCAGAGTGACTCAGGGCCCTTTATGCTATGTGGCTAAAGACTACTGTTTCTTAGAGCAACATAGCACTACTCACTGCCATGCAAGTCAGTGTGTTTTCCTGTTCTGACTGTATTAACCTGTGGCCATAAAATGACGCAGCAGCCCTGCTGGCAGCAGTCTCTGGGCTTCAAATTACCCAGGAAGTGGAGTGGGGCCAGCTAGCGCTCAAAATGCTCTAGATTGCTCCATCTCTAGATTGCTCTAGATGGAGCTGCTCTAGATCGAGTGGGGGTGGTCATACTGAGTCATCTTTTAAGAATGAAAAATGAAGCCCAGGGGAATGAATTGAGGGCTGGGAACTGTCACTCTAGTTTTGTTTGTTTTGTGTTCACAAAGCTCAGCTTTTTCTGACCCTGTCTTATCTTCCACAGGCTGTAAGTTGTCCCCTCAGTCCCTGGGTGTGGACACAATCCCCTGCCCAAACTCACCAGTTTTCAGGACGGGCAGCGAGCCCACCCTGAGCCCAGCAGTGGTTCGGAGGGGCTCCTCGGACCCTAGGGCAGGGGAGGCATTGCGAGGCTCAGACAGCCAGCTTTGCCCCAAGCCACCCCCGAAGCCCTGCAAGGCACCCTTCCTCAGGGCTCCCCCATCTTCCTCCACCTGGCTCAACTCAGAGGCCAACTACTGTGAACTGAACCCAGCCTTTGCTGTGGGCTGTGACAGGGGAGCAAGGCCCCCCTTCTGTGCCCAGGACAGCTACGTGGAGCTCCTGACAGCCAAGCATAATGGGGCACCGGGTCCCCGGAACTCTGGCACCAACTACTTGATCCTTGATGACGATGATGGAGCAAAGCCTTGGGAGGCAGGAGCAGCAGCACAGACGGACAGGGGGCAGGAGGACGAGGGCCATTTTGTGACGCCCCTCCTGGAGACTGCCTCCTCCTTCAGGCCCAATGACTTCGAGTCGAAACTCCTTCCTCCTGAGAACAAACCCCTGGAAACAGCAATGCTGAAGCGTGCAAAAGAGCTATTCACCAACCACAATCCCAAGGTCATCGCCCAGCACATGCTGAGCATAGACTGCATGGTAAGTGCCCAGCAGGCAGAGTTCTGTCCAGCTTCTGAAAGTTTGGGAGGGGGCCTCTGCTGGGCCTCACTCTGTCTTACTCTTGAAGTGTTTGCTGGTGGAAAAGTCTAAAGATATGTCTTAACATGTATAGGGATTTATTTAAGGGGTGGGAACCACAGGTGAAGACAACCTTTGCCCAGGCAGGAAGCTTGTAACATTGACCTTGGACAAAGGGATGGTAGGCCGTTGCCTCCTTCGTGCCCACGTGTGGCTCCCTGGTGTGGAGCCACTGCAGAATTTGTCTCACAGCCGGTGCTGATTTTAAAATTCTCCCCGGGCCTCAACTCCATCAGAACTGGTGAAGTCTAAGCCCAAAGGAGAGTAGATCATAGATGAAAATGTAATATCTAGATTAGCAGAGCCTTGGTTCTTTTTAGTTCATTATGTATTTATTTTTATTGATACTATTACTAAAATGGTCTTCAGGATGAACAAACATTTTTAAAGGTACCTTGAATTGTTATTTCAAGTAGTACTTGCTCAATTTAGAAAAATTATAAAATTGCCTGCATTTGAGCAACAGGTAAGGCCTTAGTGAGATTTAAAAGCCCCTTTTCATTTGTATCTCAGTGAAGTCAGTTCACTTCAAATGTCAGGGCTCACCAGGGAGCTGGGTTGTCCTGAATAAATTTCCTGAGCTGTGAATCCTGGGAGGAGATGTAACCTCTGAGCCCTCCCTCAGGAGCTCCCCTGTGATCGAGCTCATTGCGGGGGCAGAACACCTCCCGAAACAGCCTTATGGAACATTAAGTAGGTACTGGAGTAGACAAGTCCCTTCCTGAAAACAGGGCTCAGTACCTTGGTGCCAAGCCTGAAAGGTGGTTCGTATGTGTATGTATGTGTTGGTGGCACAGGGTGGGGTGAAGTGGGTGGAAGGGAGCAAAGAGAGCCGAGGAAGGGGCTGTGCTGGAAGAACGAGGTCCTGTTCACCAGGTTGGCTGGGTGTCCTTGCACAGCGCTTGGGTCATGTTAAATCCTTAACTCAAATTAAAGCGAGCTAAACCCATTTGGGTAGTAGGAGGATTTAGGATTTCTGTTCTAGTAACTCTCAATCTGTGTCCTGGATCTGAGGGAAGAACCATGCCAACAGGCCAGGAGCCCAGCATCAGCCTGTCTTGGTTCTCTGCAGAGAATAACCTGGGTCTAGCTTTGCAGAATAGCCTCATTCCCAGAAGGAAATGAATCCTTCTTCCTGTGGCCTCAAACAGGACTTGGAGGAGTCAGAGCTCTGGGAGGAGGTGAGATGACTGACCGCCCTTTGCTGGAGGGTCTGGAACCTGCCCACCACCTTGGTAGCCGTGAAGCTAGAGCCCAAGTCTGTTCTTAGCCGAAGGAACCTGCCTCTTCCTTGTTCTTTCTTTCTTTGCGTTCTGTCCCCCTGGTGGGGCCCGACACCAGTCTGCCTTCAGGCATCCCTGAAAGAGGACTGGATAGAGCTCCCTGACAGCCAGACAGAGACCCGGAGCAGGAGCTCGCCTGACTCTGCCCACCCCAGCCCTCAAGGGCAGGGCTGTTTAGTCTTCCTTCCTCCCTCCTGATGTCCTTATTCTCTCCTTAGAACCACTGACTTCTGGGCTTTGCCTACAGGCACAATCAGCATGTCTAAGAGGGAAGAACACCGGGTCTCTTGTTACCCACTCTAAGTGCAGGGGCAGCCAGATGGGGCCACCTGGAAACTGAGAACAGGCACTGGGCAGCATTTGGGGCCCAAGTGCTGATGCCCACCCCATGCACAGAGCCCTGGACTCACAACCAGAAGGTCATCAGGACAGTGGGCGGTCCTGAGCACCTGGAGGCTGCCTGTCCAGCAGCGTGCAGCCCCCCTCCCAAGGCTGGGGCTAGAGTGGGCACCTCACTCACCCAGAGTACAGCCAGTCTCCCACCTGCCCGCCTTTGCAGTAGCTGGAAGTGAGGCCCAGCAGTTAAGAGCATGGCCTCTGCGGATGACCGGCCCAAGGCTAACCCAGCCTTCGCAGTTCTTTCTTCCCTGCACCCCGTCTATAAGAGGAAGGGAACAATGCCAGCTACCCTGTGGTTGTGAGAACTAGATGAGATAGCACATGGGACGCCCCCACGCATGCCCAGCCCCATGAGGCTAGGTAAGTGTGTATGAGTGCTACTACATATTCAGCCTGAACTGAGCACCTGCTGTGCACCAGGCCAGGTCACAGTAGGGCAGTAGGGGGACAGTGATACAGGAATTCAGAGCACAACTGTGGGAAACGCTGTGCCGTGGAGGGGGAGATGCTGTGGGGCTCTGGGACAGGGTCTTGAACACGGGGAGGGAGGGACTCAGCGTGGGGATGGCTGTGATGAGTCCTGAAGACTGGGTAGGAGTTGGCCAGACAGAGAACACAAGGCCTCTGCTAGGTGGCAGACAACAAGCCCGTGCAGACACCCAGACGCCAAAGGCCACAGGAGGAAGGGTGTCTTACCAAGGCTCACTCTGTGGGTGGTGAAGGCAGGGGTGGGGTCGGGTAGGGGAGTGCCTGGCAGGTTTTTCCTTCAGTGTTTTTAAGTCTCTACTTCTGGGCTCATGTCAGGTTGCAGTCTTCAAAGCACCTTGCTGCAGTGAGGGAGACATAGTGCCAATCAGAGTTCTCTGCTAAGGGCAGCAGAGACAGCCAGCAGAGCCAGGCATTCCCATTGCAGTTTAGAAGGTCCATTGGCAGCTGGAAGGAGGGCTGGGCCAGTCACTCCCCTGGGTCACTGCAGCAGCTCCAGAGGCAGTGGGATGAGTGAGCAGAGTTCAAGGTTCTGCAGATCTGGAGCACCTGATCTGGGGCACTGATGCCCTGCTCTGTGGGGTCCAGCTCCTAGTAAGTGTGCTAGAAGTGTTCATCCCTCTTTCTGCATCTATGAGCTGCACAGCCTTGAGTGTTTACCAAGGGACCTAATCCCGGCCCTAGAGTGTGAGTTCAGGACCCCTGTGTCCCATAGCTCAGCGTTGGCACAAGCAGGTGTCAGCATTTCTTGGTAAAACCCAGGAAAGAGACCTCCCATGTTTACACTGAAGGAACACAAACTGACAGCTTCTCTCTCTGAGCAGTGATCATTCTGGACTCTGGTGCTTTTAGAATAAAACTGAATCAATGACAAACCTTTAAATCCCATTACACAGAGTGTGTGTGGATTGGAGGAAGCCCCACAGACTTGCTGGGTTTGGAGCCACCAATAGGGCAGCTATCCAAACAAACAAGCAAGGGTATGTGACCACAAGTGGCTGGGGTGTGCATCTGGGCTGCCTCACTGCCATCAAGGCATAAATCTCTTTCCAAGGATCACGAGAATTCTATCCCCCTTACACATGGCCATCAATTCACAATTTGTATTTTCAAATAGCTTTTTGGAGTTTTGAAGTCATTTGATCCTTTGCAAAGTCTTTGAGAAAGGTGAACTTAGTAGTTGTGTTAGAGAAAGGGGAAACTGAGGCCCAGAAAGCATAGTCTGAACTCTGCATCCCATTCATCCCATTCTGGCATCTGCCACTAGATAGCTAGTTCCCAGGACTGACAGCGGTTCCTTTGCTCAACCATAGGAGTTAAGGGTCAGGTGTAGTAATAGCAGCTAAATTTCAGGTGTATTTTGTGGCCTATTATGAAGTTATCTGGACTGTTCATATGCCTGGGATAATTATAATCAAAGAAACTCCACCAGATCAAGAAAGAGGAATTGTGAGCCTGCCGTGTGTCCAGGGCTGTTGGACCCATCGTATCTGCTAGTTGCACCACTAATATATCAGTGCACTGTGAGGCATCATTAACCCCATGTTAGAGACACACTGATTCAATTGTAACATTTCAGGTAACATGTAATAACTATAAATGGTCCAATAATACCTGGTTCCAATAAACTGCGATTATACACTAGAACTGAGATGATGGGGAGAGCTGGTGGGACAAACAAAGATTTTCTTTAAGGAAAACCTCTCGGGGAGAAGTGGGTGTGTTTTGAGACCACAGTTTCAAATTGCTCTACACGTTTCTAATAGTTCCCAGATGTATGATGCATTTACTGAGCTCAGGAGAGGTGTAATTAAGGGTAAGAGCAGTCCGTCTGTGGTTAAGTGAGAGCATGAATGGCAGGGCCCATGGCTGAGGAGTGCCTGGACGCAATCTGCTTTCCACACAGGGGATTGGCAGTGAAACGTCGCAGCAGGATGCACCAAGTGTTAGACAAAAACTCAGAGAACTACACCGTTTTTCACTGGGCAGAAACACCAAACCTGCAGATTCTGCAGGCCAATTTAGATGCCTTCCTCCCAGATTTTATATTCCAGTATGTGTATTAAAATCCTCCAAAAAGCACATAAAAATGACCTTTTGGATGCTGCTGCTTAAAAATAATGCAGCAAGTAAAGTGGAGCCACCTTGTCCCAGATTAGTGTCTTTCTTTCCACGTGCCAAATTCGTGTTCACAGCAAGCCCACTTTCTGACGCATTGTATTTAAACGTGTTCGTGACAGGTCACTAGGATACTTGAAGTCTCTGAAGATATGAGGAAGAATATGGGTGTGAGCTCAGGGCTGGAACTCATTACCTTGCCTTACGGCCACCAGCTGCGCCTGGACATAATTGAAAGGTGAGGAGCACTGTCCTCTGCATTTCCGGCATTTTCAACTCCTTGAAGGCTGTCTGGGCAGCAGGCTTCAGAGCAGAGAGAGGCCCAACCCCGACCTGCCATAGAGGCACCACATTCAAGGGCATGTGGCTCTGGGCTGACTTTTCCCAGAAAGCTTAACTGAGGCCACACAGAGCAGCAGCCCAGAAGGCAGGGGACAGAGAACACATTCCTGTCCCTGCTGCAGGAGCGGCTGGACGACAGGATAGCTGCCATCATCCTGCCAGCGGGAGTCAGAGCCGGGCTGCTGCGGGCAGGCAGAGTACTCAGACGTCCCGTCCCCTCATTGAGCTGTGGCTCTTTTGTCTCTCTGGAGTAGAAGATGGCTTTGGAAATTAAGTGGGAGTTCATGGGAACAGTGTTTTCTTTGAGGGGTGGACAAATCAGGCATCAGAGGTCATGGAATGGCAGTACTTTGGCCCCCTGACCTCCGAGCCATCAATGCCCTTTTCTGATGAAAAGCCAGGGCCCTGGCTGTCCATTAAAACCCCCATGTATGAGTATTAGATATTGAGAAATTAGAAAGACAGAAATAGGAGGCACATTTTTAAGAAAAGCTAGACCAAATTCTCATATTATCAAAGAAGATGGACTTCTCGACACACAAAAAAAGTAAATTGACATGGGCAAGATTATCGTCTTAAGTCTTCTGTTTTTCCACTCAATTCCCCAATTGCCATGACACACGTCACTGGTGTGCTGGACATCCATTCTGGCCCAGGCTGAGGTCAGCAGGTTGGGGCTTTGTCTTGAGACTATTTTCTGACTCCCACTCTTGTCTACATTCATTTCCTCTCTCCTGAGTATCTGCCTGGGGTCCTGCTCCTTGGCTTGTTTCCTGTCCAGGGCTGACCTGTGAGATCTACTTGCTAGAGCCTGGGGTTTCTTCATTGTAATGGGTTTAGTAAATAAAGGCCAAGGTTGTAGTGATGCTTAAAAGTCAAATGACGCTATCTTCTTCTGTTTGAGAATCAAATACTAAACACCCTTCACTTTTAATTTACCATCTTACCCATTCCAGACCTGAGTGGAGATGTCCTTTATATAACATGTAGTGCCTCCTCTTGCCAGCCTCTGGCACTTATGCTCCAAATCTGCTATGATGAGTTGCTTTTTCCTAGTAGTGTACACAGGAAGTTTTAGGCAAGTGTTAGTAGAATAACTGGATGGTATAATTACCCAATTAACCATTAATATAATGCCAGGTCTTAAAGAAGTAGGGTATCCATTTTTTATTAAGGACCATTAAAACATAGGAGAAAACACTGAATAAAGAATTGATTGAAGGGAACATGAGAAGTTAGTTTACTTTCATTAAAAGAAATCTAAAATGTTCACCTGAACCTGAACACTTTCCAAATAAGCAACAAAACTCTTTGGTAAATACAGCAAATAATATATATATATATATATATATA